AAAAGTAGCAGTCTTAGACTTGAAATGAACCACAGTTGTGGAATGTGCTTTAACCTCCCTGGCTTTAACCTCCCTAACTAATCAATATTTTTGAATGTCAAAACGGTACTTTTTTTGCATTGAAATGTGTTTTTTTTTATATTGTAGGCCTGTAATTCTTAGGAATAACTCACTTAAATCTGTCCAAAAAAAGAGTCTAGTAAACATTCCAGGTATGATAAAGTTTTAAACACAAAATCATAAATTATACTATAATAAATAATTATAAAAAAATAATAATATAATAATACATTTAATTCAAGAAACTTTTTTTTATTTTGCATTATAAATTAAATAAATATATGAATTAAAAAAATCTGCATCCATTTTTTTAATTTTACATGCTTTTGGCTTAGCATGAAAAGTAGCACTGTTAGACTTGAAATGAACCACAGTTGTGGAATGTGCTTTAAGCTCCCTGGAGGTCTAAATAATCAATATTTTTGAATGTCAATGCAGTACATTGTTTTGCATGTAAATTTGTTGTATTTATATTGTAGGCCTGTAATTTTTAAGAATAACTTATTTAAATCTGTCCAAACAAGTGTCTAGTAAACATCCCGGGTATGATAAAGTTTGAAACACAAAATCATAAATAATAATAGAATAAATAATTATTAAAAATAACAATAATAATAAATGTAATTCAATAATGTAATCAAACCAAAAACACTGAAATTTGAAATATAGTGCCAAGTTTGCACATCGCTGAGCTCAGTCGCAGAATCGTTTTCAGTGTCTGATGACAAATTTCCCCCGCAAATCATTATCATTCAATTAGAAGTGGTTCTAATTAACTATCACTGTTCTCTAGCCGGTCTAAAACCGCTTTTGACCTAAAGGGATGCTTTTTGAATGCCATGGACGTTCTCAAGTTTCCAGGCAGAGAGTGCAGGCAGGGCACTGGAGAAAGCACTAGGGACAAAACTGAGGTGAAATAGTTTGATACAGTAATGTAATCCTAACAGATTACAATGTATTGTGTGTATGCCATATTTTTACTTTTTTTAATCTCCCGCCGGTTCCGCCCTCCTGCGTCCCGACACTCACAGGGAACAGATGTCGGCATTGGCCGGAGGACATGGCCGGAGGACACAGCGGGAGGACATCATGGGATTGCAGGACAAGGTAAGGATCAGGGGATCGCAGAAGAAGCACTATACTGTAATCCTGAGTGTGGCTCGAGGTTACCGCTTTTGGTACTGTAAATTAACCCCGCCTCACACTCGGGATTAGCGCTATTGAGGTTAAAATAGAATTATGACCAAAGCTTTTTTTGTCCTACTTCTCCTGTGGGTCACAGGAGTTCACTCACTTTTGCTCTCCTGTGTCCCAGAATCAGCTGACAGAGGGCTGTAGCACACACTGACTGAAATTCCTCAGCAATCGGCTGAGAGCTAGAGCCAGCTGCACCTGCCCCTTTCTTGGGCAGTGCTCCAGTGAGTAAGCAGGAGCAGAGTGGAGAGTGGTGACTGGCAGTCACCGCTCTTGGCTCGCTCAGAGCAGCCCAAGTGCTGAGTGATCAGAAATCATATAATCACTAATTTCCTCGGTCTTAGCGCCAACATGCAACACCTGCAGCACCACACCAATGTAAACCTCAAACCTCTTCCTTAATGCCCATGTATATGATATTGAAATCAACCTGTTTTTAAAGTCCACCTCATTCTCCTTACCTGAATGCACTGTCATGTGTCCCTTGCCAGTGCCTCCTACTGGAGTAGAGACTGGTGATCCAGCACTGCAGTTTGTGCTCATGCTGACCAGTTATCTCCTGCTGATGTCATCCCACCACTTCAGTCTTCTGGAGCTTGAGAAAACCCCACTGCTGGACAGCCAATGGGAAGTGTTCCTGTCACCCAGGTAACAACATGCGTACCTGAGGAAGGATCATCCAACTCTGAAGTCCAGAAAATACTGGGTAAGGACTGGAACGTCACAGATTTTAGTTAATAAATGGGAATTTTAAGTATTTTTTTTAAATACAGCTAATAGAGATGGGGGGGGGGGGATTCTCTCCTAGAAATGAGTTTTATAACATTTCTTCAGAACAATGTCTTCCAACTGATCTGGGAGTGCTGGTGTTCCAATTACAAGATCCCCTGATGCATTTTTTTATGAGCCTTTCCTAATTTTTTTTCCAAGAGTAATGGTCTATCACAGGAGTGTCAAGCTGGTGGCCCTCCTCAGCTGTTGCAAAACTACAAGTCCTATCATGCCTCTGCTTTTTGGAGTCATGCTTGTAACTGTCAATCTTGCAATGCCTCATGGGACTTGTAGATTGGCAACAGCTGGAGGGCCGCCAGCTTGACACCCGTGGTCTATCATATAGCAGAATTGCTTCACTAGTAAGTATAAATCCCAGTGATACAAGATCAATGAAATACAGATATTTCTGTCAGTAAAGGTCCTTCCTCCCTGTGAAAACTTGCATAAAAATGTTGTCTTTCCAGATGGGAAAAAAGTACAAAAACATCTTACACAGTATTTTACACCTCAAAAACTGGTCCTGTGTATCCCACAACAACACTCCCCACTCTATTGATGAAACTGGATAAAATGGATTCTTAGATTATGTTTGGTGGAACTGTCCAATACGTTTCTGGAAAGAAATCTTTTAATTTACCACCTCCTTTACCAACATCTTTTGCTCCCCTGACTCACCTATGGTACTATTTTTTTCATAGTCAGAATCGAAAGCCCCTCACTATCCTCTGTAGTGAGCATTTTCAACATACACACCTCATTCAAAAATATGTTTGCCCAAATGCATAATGCCTGACCTAAATTTCAAAGCAATTGGACTTGTTGGTAGATAGACAATAGTTGCAAGGTTCAAGATTAATACCTTTTTCTGGTGTAGTGCTGCCCCTGTAGAGAACACTTGATAATGGTTGTCTCCAATGGCTGCCCTGACCTTGCAAGCCTCCCAAGACGTCTGACACTCTTGGTTCAAACATATTTCTAAAATATTAAATATTAAGGCAAGAGACAAGATTTTTTTTTAGCAACACCTCTATATGAAAATAACCAGTTTAACAGAATATACAGTCAAAAATAATATGCTGTAACTATATAACTGCAGCACCAGCAGCAGGAGAGGGAAGAGAAGGCTTGTTGACTTATCATCTCCCTCTGGGCCACTGCTGTCACAATGGGGAATGCAAAGATTTATGTAAATATATATACTCCGGCATAAATAGGTATAGACACCCTATTTTGAAAAACAATGGCTTAAAGCGGAGCTCCACCCAAAAGGGGAAGTTCCGCTTTAAACCTTTGTCCCCCGTTAGCCATTAAGGATTGTCACCTTTGGTGCCCGCTCCCACTTCTGCTGCGATCACCTAGGTGATCGGAAGCGGAAGTCATTCTCCCTCCCCATAGTCTTCTGGGACACGTGACAGGTCCCAGAAGACTATGCGGCCATTCACAAAGCGCAGCACTTCTTGCGCATACGCACTGGGCACCTGGCTGTCACAGCCAGGTGTCCACACTGAAGATGCAGGCGCCAGGGAGAGAAGACGGTTGGTGAAACCAGCAGTGGGGAGGACACCGCTGGACCGAGGGACAGGTAAGTGTCTGTACTTTAAAAGTCAGCAACTATAGTTTTTGTAGCTGCTGACTTTTATTGTTTATTCAGGTGGAACTCCACTTTAAGTTTGAATAGAACCCTTTAACTAGAAATTACAACTTGAATCCTGTGATGTTTAAAGTTTCTGATGTAATAGTATCTGTTGTCTTCTGCTAGCAATGGTGGGGCCCATATACATTAGTGAGTACTGGAAATTCAATGACATTAACAGATAAGTTGTGGTAGATGCTCAAAGCAAAGATCTTGTACTGAGGTGTAAAGGTGTCTGCATGCAGTGTCTCTAAAGTAAATGTAGATATCCTCCTGCGCTTATTTTGGAGGATGCAAATATAATTATAGCTGTTGCCACTCAACTTAAACCAATAAGTGTAGACTCAAAATATAAATAAATAGTGAAGCGCTATAAAATATAAATTTAACACATATGCAATACTAACGTGCTATATATTGCTAACTGTTCCAATACAATTGTGCTCAGTGAGAAAAATAGCAAATATAATATATTAAGCAAAATATAAAGTGACAAAAACCATTAAGAAATGTGAAACAAATCCGACAAATTGAGAGTATTAATTGTATATAAAAAAAAGGGTGATATCATCCCGTGCTGATTAAACGATATCTATTATAAATACAATATGAATGAAAAAACATTAAAATACATCTGTGTAATTAGAAACATAAAGTCCATGCAAGTGTGCCTGTGCCAATGTGATCTTGACTCCAGTGAAACAGAAAAAAGATCCTCAAATGGCAGCAATGCCTGTTCACCTCCACAAACTGACCCACACAGGGCCAAAAGGCTATGTTTAACAATACCAGATCCTCGCAATTCTGCTCCTCATCACAGGGACTATGGGATTGAATATGGATGTCTCCCCAGCGCACCTTATCTACTCCACCTCCTCTTATGTCCACATATATGAGATACAAAGCAAAAATCCTTCCATAGTGCAGTAATCTTTTTTATTTAGAAAATAAATGGACTTGATATTGCACTCACATGTATTTCCCAGTGAAAACAGCCTGTCACCACATCCGATGGGTGTACTGCATGGTTACTGGGTGTAGCAATATGGCCGCTGCATCCGGAAGTGCGTCACCTCGTACCGGAAATGGCGTACCGACGCGTTGCATCACGTGCCTTGTGACTTCATCAGGGATGGCAGTCCCCCTGTGTTCTGTACTCTGCAGTATCATCATGTCACTGGCTTTAGGACTACAGATCCCAAGATCCTCAGCTGTAGAAGAGCTGTATCCACTCAGCTAACAGGAAGTGATGTAGCAGCCCCAATACTGGGCACTAGGGGGAAAAGGATTAATTGTAGTCCCATCCAGGGGCGGACTGACCATTTGGAAACTCGGGCACAGGGTCAGTAGGGGGCCCCATGAGATGCCCCTGGTACCTTTTTCATAGGCTTTTTTGAGTTTGGGCAAGGACACACGGGCCCCATGATCTCCTATTGCCCGGGGCCCCATGAGTTGTCAGTCCGCCTCTGGTCCCATCTGTCCTTAAATGGCATAATGATAAAGCCAGCACCTGGCTGCATTGAGAAGACTCTTTCTTGCTTATTTTGTTGGGTTTTTTAACATAGTATATAATTTTCTTGCATGTTAAGCAATAACTTTACCTGTCCCACTTGGTACATGACTTTTTATCAAATATACCATAAATGCCAATCTCTGCTTCTTTTCTGTAATAGTTTGATGATGATACATACACTTCATTACACTTTACAGTTCCTATTTTTAGTTCCCCACTTTTCTTTCTTCTCTCATCCTCCTTTGGTACTTTTGGTATCTTTCTTCATCTTTATAGGCAAACACCAACACTGTATGGTGACACCAACACTGCTCTCAGAGTCAATGATCATAGCTAGCACTAGGTATAAGAAAGTTATATATTTATTACTCTGTATCATAGAATATTGAACACTGACTTTCTATTGTATGTGAAAATTGGGATCTCACTTGGTTCTGATATTTATGGGCATTACTTTTTGTAATGCCATACTCCAAAAAATGTCAATAAAGATCCATAGCTGTAAAAGAAAATTGAAGTGAGGCACTTCAACTGTGCAGTAAAATAAAAAGGAAGTTGTCAGGCTAGAAATATATTGGCTGTCATTGCTTATTTGTTTTTCAAGGTGCAATATCCAGGTCCCCAATGAAGAATAAAGCATCCAAGAGGTGCTGAAACTTTGATGTGTGAGTTCATACAATGTAGGGAGAGAACAAAGAGATTTTGAAAGCTCTCAGGCTCAGGTCAGCCTGCTCACAACAGACAAGGCTACCCTCCAGTGGGCACCCTGGTGGGTTACCAGAATAAAAAAACCAAGCACAAATGGAAAGAGCATCAGAACAAAGAATAAAAGAGTCCAAATTAATTTATTAGTTTATGCTAAAAAAAAAACCCATACATTATCACTCACCATCTGATATTTTGTTGTCTTTGCATGTATTTGTACATGTATCTGTATATGCGTGTAATTATGAAATGCAGTTGCTGCAATAATTCACCAAAAAGTCACAGTAATCTCCAGTGTAACTTTATGCTGATTTTAACAATACCATACTCTTGGTGTTTGGTTTTATATGTTATCATACAATAAAATTGTTGAATTTTATGTGGTTGTTAGTATCATGTTTTTGGCACCTAAAATAATTCTTTATTCCTTCCATTGTGTATTTAAATGTGTGCAGTTATGTATGCATGTAATATGTACGCATATGTATATCTAGCATTTTTTTGATTGCTAGACTTCTGATGATGTCAGTCAAATTTACATTATATTGTGTTTTGTTGTAGCCCTGATGAAGGAGGAGTTTTTCCTTAACCCTGAAACGTGTTGGCTATTTTTTTGTAGTATAAGCTAATAAATGAATTTGAACTCTTTTATCCTTTAGTTTGGAGCTCCTTTCATTGGTGCATATTTTTTCCAATATAGAAGTCTTATTCTTATCCTTTATTTAATACTTGGTGATTTAACCACCCATATCAAGTGTTGGAATACCTGATATACAGTATGCATCCTTTTTCTAGCCAAAGATTTACCATGTAGTAAAGCAAATATATTTTTGCTAACCCTGGGGCATGTTCCTTTAAACACTAATATGCAACAACAGCTCCTTTATTTCCTGAAGTAGCACAGCCCTGTAAACTTGTTTATTCTTAGAATGTCACAATTGCTTTTTTACACACCCAGTTGCATGTTGAAAGAATACCAAAAATGCATAGAAGCAAAAGAAAAAGAACATTTTGGTGATAGTCAGCTGGTGTTTCATGCAGTATTTAGTTATAACTACCCAAACCGCACAGTTTAAACCTCCCTGGTGGTATGATTATTTCAGATTTTTGGTGCTAAAAGCGGTACCATTATTTTTTTGCATGGAAATATGTAGTTTTTTTATTGTAGGCCTGTAATTCTTAGGAATAACTCACTGAAATCTGTCCGAACAAGAGTCTATTAAACATCCCGGGTATGATAAAATTTGAAACACGAAATCATAAATTATAATTTAATAAATAATCATAAAAAATAATAATATAATAATAATACATTTAATTCAATAATATAATCAAACCGAAAACACTGAAATTTGAAAATATAGCGCCAAGTTCGTACATTGCTGAGCAAAGTCGCAAAATCGTTTTCAGTGTCTGATGACGAATTTCCCCCACGAATCATTATCAGTCAATTCTGCAAGTGGTTATGATTTACTATCACTGTTCTCTAGCTGGTCTAAACCCGCTTTTGACCTAAAAGGACACTTTTTGGACGCCATGGATTTTTCTAAGTTTCCAGGCAGAAAGACAGACAAAATGTAGGCAGGGCACAAGACAAAGCACTAGGGACAATATGTATGTGAAATGGGTTGAAACAGCAATGTTTTACTGTGAAAAATGTGTTTTGAAAAAAATGACATTTTTTAAAATTTTCAAATTTCCCGCCGCCGCCACCGCCCGTACGTCCCGACGTCAAGGGGACCGGAACACAGAAGCCGGATGCCGGCATCAGCCGGAGGAGATGGCCGGGGACGCTTCAGGGGACACATCGTGGGAGCGAAGGACAAGGTAAGTGCTGCAGGGACTCCCTATGCAGGGCCGCATGGTAAGCCCGAGTGTAGCTCGGGGTTACCGCTTTTGGTACTAAAACTCTACCCCGAGCTACACTCAGGAATACCGCCAGGGAGGTTAAAAGATAAGTTCATCTTTGGGAACATGTTACATATTGCACCCATTTTTAGGGTGGAACATATAACATGTTCCCGATTCTGCAGCCGCCGCCCACTGTTCCCCCTGGTGAAGTTCCACGCACTAGCTGTCCTTTTTCAAAAAGAGTGCGGCCATGCTGGGCTCTGCCCACATGGCCATGTCATTCATTCACAGTGTTCTGTGAATGAATAATTTTCAAGTCTTGACAGCCTTAGCGGCTGTTGGCTTGTAGTCCTCAATGAACTACCACAGTCAGTGGTGTATTTAGGTTTTGTGCTGCCCTAGGCAACACAAAAATCAGACCCCCCTGCCCACCTGACATTGACCAACAACACCCCTGCTTCCCACCCAGAGAGAAAGTCACTGACCTTTACAGCTCCGGACATCCCTGGGAACAAGAGTCGGGCTCTGCATACACTATCAATAAGTCTGCAGCCTCTCTCAGCTCCCACCTGGTCCCCATGCTGCAAGTGTCCCTTTTTCCAGGGAGCAGTGCTGCCCCCCTGAAAAATGCCACCCTAGGCAACTGCCTTGTTTGCCTTGTGGTAAATATGCCCCTGACCACAGCGCTATGAGCACTGTGGTAGTTCATTGAGTCTTTCTGTCAACAAGTATCAGCTTGCGCCGTATGGGATGTACGAGCAAGCAGAGACACTCAGTCCTCATGCACACTAAACCTTTTTACAGCTGCTTTTTTTGGCTTTTGACTTTTTTTCTACAGCCAGAAAATTCCCCAGCATGTTATCCTATGTGTCCATGCACACATAGACTGTAATCAACGTTTTTTGGCAGTGGATTTTTTAGCTGAAAAAAAAATCCAGGACTAGTGGGTTTCTACAGGAGATTTTTAACTGTAAAAACGCTCTAAAGCTGAAAAACACGGTAAAACATAATAAATCGTGGCAAACCAGCATTTTGGAAATTTTTTTGGGGGGGTAAAAAAACGCAAATGTGAAAAAACGCGGCTAAACGCTAATACAAAGTTGCTAAAAAAATTGAATTTTTAACATGACTTTACACAGCTAACGTTACCAGCGTTATTAAAACGCCCAGTGTGCATGGAGCCTAATAATGTGCGGAAGACCTGCTAATCACTGGTGCAATACTTTACAGGTTCCTAACACAAAAAATAGTAATGCCTGCAAAAAAATGTGCATTTATTTTTTTTTTGGAAAGGCAAACTTATCCTTTAACCACTTGCCCTCCTTCCTGACTAGGCCAATTTTTCGATACAGTGCTGCGTTACTTTAACTGACAATTGCGCGGTCATGCAACGCTGCACACAAATGAAATTTATGTCCTTTTTTTCCCCACAAATGGAGCTTTCTTTTGGTGGTATATGATCGCCGTGTGCTTTTTTATTTTTTGTGCTATAAACAAAAAAAGACAGACAATTTTGAAAAAAAAAAAAATAATATATATATATATTTTTGACTTTTTGTTATAAAAAACATATCCAGTAAAAAAAATAAAAAAAAATCTAATTTCATCATAAATTTAGGCCAAAATATATTCTGCTACATATCTTTGCTAAAATAAAACCCAATATGTGTAAATTAATTGGCTTACATGAAAGTTATAGCGTCTACAAATGGCTGTATATATACTGGGATTTTTGTTTTTTTACTAGTAATGGCGGCAATCAGCGACTTATAACAGGACTTCGGGACTGCGGCGAGCATTCTGACACTGGGGGGAACTGACTAACTACCACTGACATCCCCAGTGACACCAATACAGTGATCAGTGCTAATAAAAAGCACTGACACTGTACTAATTACACTGAGCAGGAAGGGATAACATCTGGGACGATCAAAGGGTTAACTGTGTGCTGTTTTACTATTTTCTCTGTGTGTGCTTTACTGTGTAAGCACGCTACTTTGTATTGCTCTGCTATGCAGAGCAATACAAAGCAGCATGCTGGTGCTGACAGGGGAAGGATCTGTGTTGTTTACATTCAGACCTATCCTCTGCAGTGTTCCTTGGTGATTGCCAGGTGCTGGCGGGGAATCTCTGGCCGGGACCCGGTGATCAACAGTTGTAGCTGCCAATGGCAGCGCGGTAGGGCAGCGCATGTGTGAGCACACACACTCGGAAATACAAAATCATGTATATATACGTGATTTTGCACAGCCCTGCTGCCCTGTAGCAGTACGTCTGCTATAGGGTGGTCAGGAAGCGGTTAAACTAGATATGTCGTAATTACGTAATTACATTAATTTTTTTCCCAAAAGGCTTGCTTTAAAGGACTAAACCTGAAAACAATGTCATTAATTATGAGAAGCATCTTAAAGAGGAACTTTAGTTGCTCCTCTGATTTTTTTAGCTCTACTTTTCTGTCATGCAGGATTGTCCTGGATTTAGAAACTGCCGAGTGGTTCTACCGATCAGGTGTTGCAGCCCAGGTCCCGTGCTGCCATCTTGGTCCTCCTCAGTCATTGGAAGCTGGCTGCCTCTTTTGGGTTCAGGCAGCTGACGTCAGATGACAACCTCACCTCTGCCCAAACTCCTCCTATATACCTGCAGCAGTTTTAAAACCCTTTCTGATACAGTCATAAGCTGGGCAAGTTTTGAAAGGCAAAACTTCAAACCTTCCAGGTAATGTCAGAGATTGCTGCTAAATCCCACCCTCTGAAATTCCTATTGGCCCATCACTATGATGGGTTACCTCACTGGGCAATAGGAATGTGTAACAGGTAAAAAGGGGCTGAAAAACTTTGGCACTCTAAGAAAGTTTTGGAGCTTTGCCTGTCAGATTCAAGTGACATTCATCAGAATCTGAAGGCTTTTTAAGGCTGCTGCAGCATTGTGAAGGCACCTCTGGATGCCTAGGTTTTGTTCCAGCAGTGGTTTTTCAGCCTTGTTTCTAGAGATGGAGTCTCTAACTTACACACTTCACAGGTATTCATACAAATATACCAACCCCTATGCAAAAAAATTACATCAGATATATGTGTAACCAATGTACAGTCTAAAGTTAATGCAGGGTCGGGACAAGGGGTGGGCAGTAGGGGCGGCTGCCCTGGGCACTGTGGTATCATGGGAGGATATGTGCTAGGATGGAAAGATTGGGAGAGGGGAATTTGTTCTGGGAGGGGGGAATTTAAAGTGGGGGGAAGAGGAATTGGGCTTGGAAGGGAAATTTGAGGGGCAGAGGATTTGTGCTAGGAGGGGGACTTTTTTTTGGAGGGATTTGTAATGGGGGTATATTGGGCTAGAGAGGATTTGAGCTTGAGGGGGCAAAGATTTGTGCTGGGAGGGAGGATTGCAGTAGGGAGAGTATGGATCTGTACTGGAAGGAGGGGGCATTTATGCTTAGGGTGTACGCATGCAGATTAGTGCTCTATTTTTTGGGTGGGAGGGGATTTTTTCTGACGCATAATGCACAATTATTTTGGAGTGGGGGGATGCAATTTGTCATGTTTGCCTCGAGCTCTAGAGGACCTTGTCCCAGCACTGAGTTTATGTTATACTGCCTTATACAACTGCTCTACAAACTTAAGGGCCGGTTCACTATATAGAAACGCAGTCAACATGCGTTCCAGATGTGTTTCTGCATGCATGTTTTTGGCACATTCTGTGCCTTTTTGATGCATTTTTTACATGTTCTGGTGCATTTTTGGTGCATTTTGGTGTATTCCGTGCGTTTTTAATGCACTTTACCGCATTCCAGTACAGTACTGTGCAGGAAAAATGCAGCCTGTTCTACTTCTGCAACTTCTGCAACTGGAACACACTGGAACTGCAAGCACTGATGTGAACTATGACATTGACAACCATATAATCTGCTTTTTGTGCATTTTGGAGGCAGAAAAAAGCACACTGAAATGCATGTAGTGGGAACTGGCCCTTAGTTAGATATTGAATATCAATTATCAGAGACAGAAATGTGATTGTGCCCTCCCAAGAGCGACACTTTACACTATAGCACCTCAATAGAACCTATTTGATTGGGTAAGTTTATATTCTAGATATCATTTGTTGTATTACTACTCTGCTACTAACATCTTAAAAGAACATTTAATTTCTGTTAGATAAAAAAAATGCGTATATCTGAGCTGGAAAGGATCTTTTTTTTATCTTCATAAAAGTGGTCAAGGAACATCATTATTAGTGATGGACCGAACACCCCTCTGTTTGGTTCACGGTCGAACATTTGAACCTAACAAAAGTTCGACCACGAACTTTGAACTCAGTGCAAGTCTATGGGACTTGAACTTAAAAAATTCAAAAGTGCCCATTTTGAAGGTTTATATGCAAGTTATTGGCCATAAAAGGGGTATGTGGACTTGGGTACTGCCCTGTGGGACATGAATCAGTGAAAAAATGTTTTCAAAAAGTACCATTTTTATAGGGGCAGTCATTTTTGATACAGTTCATCCGTGACACTGATTTTGGCTTTAACCACTTGCCTACAGGGCACTTATAGCCACTTCCTGCCCAGGCCAATTTCAGCTTTCAGCGCTGTCGTACTTTGAATGACAATTGCGCGGTCATGCAGCATTGTACCCAAATGAAAATGTTATAATTTTTCTGAGACATCTAGAGCTTTCTTTTGGTGGTATTTAATCACCTCTGGGTTTTTTTTTTTCTAAACAAACCAAAAAACAACTGAAAATTTAAAAAAAAAACGTTTTTTCTTAGTTTCTGTTATAAAATTTTGTAAATAAGTGATTTTTCTTCTTCACTGATATGCGCTAATGAGGCTGCAGTGATGGGCACTGATAAGCTGCACTGATGGGCACTGATGAGGAGGCACTTGTAGGCACTGGTAGGTGGCACTGATGGGCATTGACAGGCATCACTGATGGGCACTGAAAGGCAGCACTCCTATATGGAACTGATAGGTGGCACTGATAGGTGGCACTGACTGACACTGTTAGGCAGCACTGATAGGCAGCACTGATGGACGACACTGACTGGCACTGATAGGCGGCACTGACTGGCACTGATAGGCGGCACTGATTGGCATTGATAGATGGCACTGATTGGCACTGATAGGTGGCACTGATAGGTGGCACTGAAAGGCAGCTCAGATGGGCACTGATATGTTTCATTGATGTGCACTGGTAGGCACTGATATGAGGCATTGATGTGCACTGGTAGGTACTGATATGTGGCATTGATGTGGCATTGATGTACACTGTCAGGTGGCACTGATGGGGCTACACTGATCATCAGGGCACACTGATCATCAGTGCCCCGATGATCAGTGTACACGTCCCCTCTGAGTAATGATGATTACCGGCTCTCCTCTCCTCACGAGCTGTCAGCTGTCTTTCCTTATTTACATGCAATGAGCTGTGATTGGACACACTTGATCACATGACAAAGCCGACGTCTTCGGCTCTTTACGTTGATCGGTGATCCGCTTTGTTCCCAGGGACACAGCGCACCAGCGATCGCCGCACTACACGCCCCCCGGGGGTGCGCACACGTGGTTAGAGTGGGAGGACGTCATATGACTTCCTCCCAGAACGAAAGAACCACCTTGCGCCCGTCATTTCTTATATATATGGCAGTTGGGAGGCGGTTAAAATTGGTGCTTTTGGCATCTTATGGCACTTATTTTTGCAAATTAAAAGAAATTTAGCAGCTTCATGTTTTGTTCATTTTCTACTGTTTTTAAAATGTTGTACTTATTTTTTTGAGGACGGGGGGCACAAGTAACTGGTCTTGCCTAGGGCACAAAATAGTCTAGCACCGGCATTGCCCAATTGTTGATGACAGTGCTGACAGTTGTCAATCAGACATCAGCAATTGGGAGGAGCTAGTGGTGACATCACTGCTAGCTCTGCCCAGTTGTTTACATCAGACCCACAAATGTCAGATTGCGTACTCAGATGCGGACGGGTCAGCGGGCTTTGGTTTTTTGGTTTTTATATTTTGGCAAGCTGGCATCATCGGGACAATGCTGACGTTGGATTACAATGGAACCATTTGTTTGGCTTTGTTTAAATAAAGGACTTGGCAAAAAACTGTTGTTTTGTTTTTGTTCAGTAAAGGATTTTTTCAAAGTCCGGCGTGTTTATTTTTTTTCCAAATTTAACCCTTTAGTGAATCGGTAGGGGTACAAGTACCCCTTACTCATTCACAAGGGGGGCAGCATCACGGTGCTCCCTTATTTAAATGGTTACCCTGATGCTAATGAGCCCCCCTGCCTGCAGACCACCCCAACCACCGGGCAAGGGTTGAGGGTAAGAGGCACTTGTACAAATCGGCATGGGGACACTGTCCTTATGCCGAGGTCATGTGGCTTGGAAAGCCTCAAGGAGGAAGGGGGTGCTTGTTCGCCCACCCTCTCCTGGCCTGCCAGGCCTGTACTCGAATCAATGGTCTGGTAGGAATTTAGGGGGGACCCCAAGCTTTCCCCCCCCATTTTTTGGGAGGTAGGTTTCCCCTTAAAGTCTTACCAGGCCTAAAGGGCCTGGTATGGCTTTTAGGGGGAACCATATGGTATGGGTTATGACTAAGGCTTGTCACACATGTTCAGAAAAATTGGGCCTTGGAAGTTGGTGGTGCCTGAACACAGTTACTCTTGCTGGGCGCAGGAATGGGCCCTGCTGTAAAACATTTTAACAATTAGAAAAAAAGTTGAAATTGGATGCAACTGTCAAACAAGTACAGAAAAATTGGGCCTTGGGTGCTGGTGGTGCCTGAACACTGTAACCCCTCACAGTTACTCTTTCTGGGCGCAGCAATGGGCCCTGCTGTTAAAAATTGTTAAAAATTAGAAAGAGATTGGTAAAAAATTTAAATTGGATGCACCTGTCAAACAACTACAGAAAAATTGGGCCTTGGGTGCTGGTGGTGCCAGAACACTGTAACCTCTCACAGTTACTCTTACTGGGTGCAGGAATGGGCCCTGCTGTTCCAAAATTGTTAGAAATTAGAAACAATATTGTAAAAATTTTTAATTTGATGCATCTGTCAAACAGGTGCAGAAAAATTAGACCTTGACGTTAGTGGCGCCCTAAACCAAAACATTGTTGGAAGCTAGCATAGTCAGGATTCAGGAATAGGATAGGCAGCAAAGGCAGTCTTCAAGGGATCCCAGATCCCTAACATATTTAATCTGTTACATCAGCATCAGGGGCTTGATAGCTGCTGTTGATCCAGGACTGATTCATTGTGATAAATGTTAGCCGGTCAATGGAGTTTGTGGGCAGACGCATTCTGATTGCATTCTGAGCAAGTTGTGTCCAGTGATCTATCCTCAAGACACAGTAACCCAGTGGATTCTCAGTTGAAAAGGTCTCCAATTCTGTTCTTGCCCCTAGATAATCCTGAACCATATGCCGATGGGTGGTTAAGTCTAACAGCCCTGGGTGCTGAGGACTACAAAATTGTTTAAAGGCATTGGTCAGTCTTCTTCACCATTTTCTTTTTGACCGAACAAAGCCTCAGAAACATGTTGTTGTCAGCACCTGTGGTAGTGAGCTCTATTGATCCACAACTTGGGGTTCCCCAGGGCACGGAGTCTAAGCCCCAGCCTGCTTGTTCACCAGAGCCCCTGATGGTGGAGATGGACTTGCAGCAAGCTGGGACCAGGGCACGGCCCCCAGGTACACCCAGCTGAGGTGGAGGAGACCGCTCGTGGGAGCAGAGTATAATGGGAGAGGACAAATGGAATCCAATAGGCAAGCCGAGGTCAGGACAGGCGGAAAACAAGCAAGGTCAGGGAACAAAGCCGGGGTCGGTACACAAGTATACACCATAGGAATCAAACAGCAGAAACACACAGGAGCTCCAACTAAGAAGTTGCTAAGGCAAAGTGGCCCAGTCTGAGCACGTCTTATATAGACAGGCAAACAAGGAGGCGGGACAGGAAGTGATGGAAGGAAATAAAACCCAGAGGACAGCAGGCGACGCCCATAGATGAGCACAGACAAACATGAGAAGGGATCAGGAACAGGACTGCAGCAAGAAGGTAAGAACACAAACGAAACTGCAGTCTAACATGTGACAGCTGTCCAGGAAATGGTAACCTCCCAGTGTCTGGAAAGGTGGTACATACATTTTTCTTCAAGGCGCATGAAGATGTTTTATCCTCTGCTCCCTCTGTGAAGACAGGATGAGCTCTGCAACTTTACTCTTGCAATGTGAATCAAGAAGGGTTGCCAACCAGTAATGATCCCTCTCCTTTATACCATGAATCGTCAGGTCCTTTTGCAGGCTTTGCAGAATTGGGGAGCCCATGCAGCATAAGTTAGAGGAGGCATGAGATTCTGAGTCCTCTGGATCACTGAGGATGACACTGTCAGGAACTACCTCCTCCCAGCTATGTACTACTCCTGGCTGAGTTTCTGGGGACTAAAAACCATCACCTGATCACTGCCATATGTTATACATTACTTTCATGCTGTCACAATCTTCCACCTCTCTGTTTTGCAGCCCCTCAGGAATGGTATCTGCATAAACTGGGAGAAAAGGAAGTCCTCCTCCCTCCTCCCGCTGTTCTGCTTCAAGTTCCCTTTCCATTATTCCATGTAGCGTGTGCTCCAGCAGGAAGACTAGAGGGATAGTTTCACTGATACATGCATTGTCACAGCTCACCATCCTTGTGGCCTCCTCAAATGGTGAAAGGACAGTGCATACATCCTTTATCAGCAGCCACCTGTGTGGCGAAAAGAAGCCAAGCTCCCCTGAGCCTGTCCTTGTGCCATACTCACACAGATACTCATTGATGCTGTGTGTGCAGCTGCTGCAGCATTACCAATGTTGAGTTAAATCTGGAGGGCTTGTCACAAATGAGGCGACTGGTGGGCAGATTGAATTCCTTTTGAATGTCAGCCAGCCGAACACTGGCCATAGACATTTCTGGCTTGCCTCTGAAGATCTTGTAAGCCTGGGTACTTGTTCAAGAAATGCTGCACCACCAAATTCAGGAAGTGTTCCAAGCATGGAACATGTGTCAAGTGTGGCTGTCGGAGGGCAGAGAGAAGGTTGGTGCCATTGGTGCATGCAACCATTCCTGTCTCAAGCTTTTAGCCTGACTCCTTGAGCACTGCTGGTTCAGAGGAAAATTCAGCAGAAAAAGCCATAGAGGAAGAGCAGGGGGTGGAGCAGACAGATGTGGCAGAATCTCCACCAGCTTTTTGGAGGCATGGTGGCCGAACAAACTCCAGCGCTCAACCCTCTCCTGGTTTCTTACCAGCTACCAGCAGAGTTACCCAGTGTGCCGTGAAGGAAATGTAACATCCCTGATCATGCCTGCTGAACCACGTGTCAGCAGTAATGTGGACCTTGCTGCTGACCGTCCTGTCCAATGAGGCTAAAACATTGCCTTCCACATGATGGTACAGAGCTGGAATGGCCTTACATGAAAATACAGTTATTTTTGGACCTGCCACTGTGGTACAGCACTTTCCACAAATTCACGGATGGGGGCAGAGTCTACCAGATGGAAAGGCAGCAGTTGTAACGCTAGCAATTTGGCCAAGATAGCATTTAGATTCTGAGCATGTGGATGGGTGAGACAGTATTTTTTTTTACACAGTTCAGCAACTGAGGTAGTGAATTTTTCCTGGTGAAATCAACAGGATGTATACTGCTAGCAGATTGAGTGCAAGGACCTGTGGCACCCATTGCTATACCACCATCCCTCTCAGTGGAGGCTGTTGAGGTATAGTAGGGGTTGAGATCCAAGATGATAAGCAAGAAGTCTGCACTTTTTTATGATGTGGGTCTTTCAGGTACTGTTGTCAACAGGCTGCATGGCAGGTCCTCATATGTCTTGTGAAGCATGTGGTGCCCAAGTGGCTGGTGTTTTGACCATGCCTGATCTGCTTCAGACAGAGACTGCAAACAGCAACACTGTGGTCTGCTGCACATGTGTTGAAAAAAACCCCACACTGATGAACATTTGAAAGTCAGCAGGGAGTCAGCAGTGTCCTGCACCTGTGGAGCTCTGTCATGTGATGCAATAGGGTGGCTGCCTTTACTCCTGCTCACTAAACTGATAAGGATATCCTGCCTCATTGGAGTTGTGCCTCCTCCTCACTTTCCGTCTCTGTTCTCTCAGGCATCCAAGTACAGTCAGTGACCTCATCATCCTCTAACCTCTTCATCACTGGAGTCAACTTGTCACCCCCTCTCTCTAGGCTCATGTCACTCCCTTCCTCAACCTGGGAACCAACATCGGAGCATTGATATTGCTGTGCATCCTCCAGCCGCATGTAACTGATACTATGATTGAATAATTCAGGTTACTCCTCCGTGCATGATGGTGGAGCTATGGAAGGAGAAACTGTGGACAAGGAGCCTGTGGAATAGGTCACTTTGGCAGCTGCGGTGGAAGACAAACTAGTATTAGCCTGGGTGACAGAGGA